TTTGTCGGGTTCGCGTCCAACCCTTTGTTTTCTGTTGGCCCCGGTTACACGTGGTTGTGGATTCGGTACTTCCAAGATAGGAAATCCAGCAACAAGCGAATAAACAGCTGAAACCTTGATCCTTCATTTATTCATGTACACAAAGGATGCCAGATATTGATGGAAAAAACCTCGGATTTGAACCTGACTAGGTCCACAAAAACATGGACCCACAGCTTCCTAAGTGTAAGTCTTTTGCGGAGAATTTTGTGCTCTACAAAATTCTTATGAAGATCTCGCAAGAAAAGTCTCAGAAAGGATTGACAAAGATGAGGGAATATGATTTTTTTACCTTTTCTGATAGGTATTTAGGAGATTTTGGTTAGAAAAATTGTGATTTGATCAAAATTAATATAATATTCTGAATCAGAATAAAAAACGAAGTCGATTTGTATGTATCTCAAATATTTTTGACATACTTTTTTTTTTCATTGAAAAAGGATTTCGTTTTTCGAGGACAAACAAAATATGTCGACAATATTTGAAATACATGTAAATCGGCTTAGCTTTTTATGCTGATTCGGAATATAATATTAATTTTGATCAAATCATAATTTTTCTAACCGAAATCTTCTAAATGCCCATAAAAAGAGGTACAAATTCATGGTAAGTAATCACTTTCCCTCATCGTTTTCGATTCTTTCTCAAACTTTTGATTTTCATAAAGATTTTGTAGAGCGAAAAATTCGCTACAAGTTGCAATATGTTAAAGTTTTCCTCGACCTATTATCATCTTGTAAAAGGCCTTACAATAGAAAACGATTAGCTCAAAAAGAAAGTAGGATTTTTCAATAGCAAGACTTCATTTTTTTTAGGAAGCTGTAAAATATTTTCTGTGCTCTTTCGAATGAGATGTTGTTCAAATTAAACGAACAAAGAATGATGGAGATATCAACGAAACACTGGAGATGATTTTTTTCCTGGCTTTCCAAATCCCTTCATAGTTCCAATGTCTATAGTTCCGTGAAATTTCATCAGAAGGACCTAAGAAATTTTTTCTAACCCCAATTTTGTGTGAGGAATTGTTTGATACAAAAAAAGTATATGTTGATTTTTATCATTAAATGGCCTCGTGAATCTTCTCTTCAGAGTTAAAAATAAAAACTTTTTACTTGTGAAAGATTTTTATATCGATTCCAGCATGATGATTGATCACGTTGATCAATTCCTGTAACTATAAGTGTTATCTAAATTAAAAAGAAAAATAAAATAAAATTTTTAGAAAAAAAAGAAAAAAAAAAAACGTTACAAGTGCATCATCTTCAAAAATATCAAATAAAATTCGACAATATTCCAGAACACATTCAACAATACATGTCCATAATGATTTCATACCAAGAGTATTTTCATTATTTACTTGATCTTGTTGTTGTTGTTGATCGCTATTTTGAACATTAACATTAAATGTAACACCTGATGGACGAGCAAAAAAACTACTATGATCAAGAATTAATACTGCTTTATTTCTTTGATGATCCATTTTATTAAACAAAACTAGATCACAAATCTTTATAACAAAAAAAAAAAAGAATTCGATGATTCACTTTTATTTTTTCATTGGAAGTTATAGACAAACCATTCAAAATTGGTTCTTATTGAGTTAAATATTATGAATAAAATTGATTGTAGCGCTTAAAAAATCTTTTTAATTCGGAATTTTCTTTATGAATTTCATTTTATTTGATAATGTCTATAAATAAACAAGATCTTTGTATATGTGATCATTATTTTCAATTTCAAAATCATTGAAATGACTTAAGAAAATAAAATGATTTAATTAATAAATACAGTTAATACAACTGTTTTAACAGGTACATTTCATTCTCAAGGATTCGATGCAATAAAACAATGTCAACAACTTTGCGATCACCTTATATTTTATCTTATGGGTTTTTTTTTTTGTTTTTGTATATTTTTTATTAGATTGCTGCACGTGCAATATATCATAATTAATTAATATCTTCTTGTTTATCATGTAGAAATGATTTAATGATACAATATGATTTAAATGAAAATTGTCGTAAAACATTAATATTTTAACGAAGACAATTACAAAATGAATAAAATATTGAAGAAATTGTTCGAACAAATATTGAAAAAGTAAATGAAATTATTTGTTTATTGATTCATGATTTCTCTATTTCTTTTTTTTTTTTAATAAATTTTAGACATTTTATAAACGTTGTTGTGATTTTTATACATCTTCTCAAACTGTTCCATTGTTAAAATGATTTTTAAAATCAATTAAACAATAGAACAGTATTCTTGTTTAGGATGATTAGCAAAATCAGTAAAAAAAAAATTTTAAATATAACTTAAAATATCCGGTTACTTTTTTACAACTGGTTTCCTTCTGTTTTCATTATTATGTTTTTAGGTAAATAAATAATATGATCTATTATTGTTTCTATTTATAAATATATATTTTATTAATGATAAAAATATGAATTTTATTATTCTACAGAGTATTATTAAAGTTAACATTAGTCACTTTTTTCTTTGTATCAATAGATCCAAAAACACATTCCCTCCTACAAAAAAAAAACTGTAAATTTCTCGATTTTTCATAAAAACATCCCAATATAAGTCATAGCACTGTTAGACAAGGTGTGAACTTCATATCTCAACAAGGAAGTTATAGAAACTCAAATCCTTTTGCGGTTTTTCTAGTCTCACTAAGACCTACATATGGGCAAAATATCATGTCAAAAGCGGAACTTCACCTAAGAGTGTTTTCTCGTAAGTGTAGATAAAACCTATGAAAGAGTTCGTGCCATTAGATATTTTCTTTTGACTTATGGTCATTAAATTGAACTTTTAGCCTATTGCACATGAGTTGCCTAATTCGAATTCGAATATAAATGGACATCTTACTGTCCATTATCACTTCGAAAATGAATGAAAAAAAAGGCTTTCCTGTTCAAATAGCAAAAGATAAATTTTGCATAAAGACGACTATAAGTTTCATAGTGATTTTTGACTATAGAGCGGGATATATGTAGGTTTGTAGAGGAAGACTTTCTCTATCCAATGATGTATATATTATCAAATTCTGTTGTGTACCGTGAGAAGATGAATTTTAGCTTCGGTCTATACGATTTTGATGCTGGTATTCGGTATATAATAGTCAAAATTGTTTAGAAGGAAGTCAAAATTCAACTTCTCACAGTAGGCAACTGAATTTAACAATGCATGCACTATCCGATAGAGAAAGTCTTCCTCTACAATTCTAGATATATTCGGTTCCATAGTCAAAATCTTACAGTCGCCTTTATAAATTTGAAGGTACATCTCTGTAGAGACAGCAAATAAAGCACACATTTCAAGTGATCCCAACACAAACACCGCTTACATTGGAGTATTGAACTGGCTAGAATACCTTTTCTCCGCGCAACACACTTTATTTCGATGTCGCGGCGTGGGAACGTGTAGCGCCCCCTCCTTCGAAGGGTCACGACTCATCCTCGTCTCTGTGTACACAATGATCATAGTAGTTCCCATTCGAATTACATTTCCAAAACACATCAGTCTATATGTTTCGGTTTTTCTTGTTGCATTAATAAAGGTCTGCTGTTAAATTTATAATTTATATAAAATTAATCTATTGCTATTGAACATGAAAGCTATTCTTTTTCATTTATATTCGAACTCAAATTAGGCATCTACTTCAATTGCAAGATATCACAAGAAAAATCGCAACAAGGATTTTTACCCTGAACTTCTTCTCAGCAGTAGCTCTTCTGAGCCTTATGATATTCTGAAAGTTTCAGGTCAAAAGGATGTTTGCCTTGGTGAGATAAGACATTCGCAAAAAATATTAGTTTGATACAAGAGGTGCAAAAATAGGCGACGTTTGAGCTAAAACTTTCAGCATATCATAAGGCCCAGAAGAGCTACTGTTGGAAAGAAGTTCAGGCCAAAACTTCTTGTTTCGATTTTTCTCGTGATATCCTGCAATAGGCTGAAAGTTCAGCAAAATGGTCATAATTTGAGAAGAAAGACCCAATGGTACGAACCCTTTCATCATTTTTGTCTACACTATGAACCCAAATGGAGATTATCAGTCGGATGGGTTTCCTCGTCATAAGAAGGAAAAAATACAGCTCTGGGTCTAGATGAATTCTAGAGTACCAACAGTATTATAGGCATCATTTTTTGTCTTGCAAAAAAATCTTTACAAAATTAGTATTTAGATGCCTTTGATATATAAACGAATAGGTTAAATGAAACAAAAATATCGATTTTTCTGTAATTTCCTATGGGTAGATCAAGGTGTACTCCATGACAACAATCAACTTACGAAATGAAGACAAAGATGAATTAACTTTTATTAATAACATCAACTCAAATTTTTCATAAATTATATTTTTGATAAAGCATAGAGAACGTCCGATCTCTACAAAAATTTTTTTAAAATCAGCAAAAATTTCCAAATTTGTATGAAGCAATTATTATTGATGTAAAAAAGTAAAATAGCTAAAAACATGATCATTAAGGGGAATTTCTTGTGTATGTTGCAATAACATATTATTTGATATGAATAATAAACTGTTGAATGTCGTTTCCAATGCTTGATAAGTTTAAGTTATTTGAAAAAAAAAAATTCTTTCCTTCATTACGCATTAATTTCTTCTCGACGGTTGACATGGAAAAAGTCGAATAAAAGTAAAGCTTTTTTTTCTTTGAAAGAAAGAAAAAACAATCAATTATTACAATCATTTTCTGTTTATTTATAGTCACTTGTTTTTTTTGTATCTAGCGCTTTTGTTCGTATCAATGAAGCGAAACAATAAGCTGATCGATCTTTTTTTGTTTTCTTTTTAGAAAAAAAAAAAAGAAAAATTTTTATCCTGACATTAAAATATAAATATCTAACGATCATTTTTGCCGTCTTTTTGTGGACGTGTAGACAATATTATTTTATTTCATATTCATCGTCGAATACGGTTCAAACAAGAAACATGACATCTTTACATATAAAAGCTCGAAAATCACCTTATTGTGGTACACAAGATGTTAAAGTAAAATATAATCTATTTGAAATTTTATTCAAATCTATAATTATAATCTATAATTAGAGATTTGATGTACCTGATGAAAAAGTTCCTTGGAATGTTAATTGGCCTGATTACAGACCAACAGAATATACATCACCAATTGTTTTAAAAAATCCACCTTGGGCTGATGATCCTGATGCGTAAGATTGATTAGAATTAATTCATTTTGTTTGGATTTCGTTTTTTCTTTTCGAAATTTATTTTTAAAGAAAAAAAATTCAACACTATAATCAAACAGATGGAAAAATCGATCGAACAAGTTTGATCTGTACATATGAAATCGATAAAGAAACAAATCGACCAAAAAATCCTCAAGGTCGTACTGGATGTATGTTATCAAAAAGAAAACTAATCTTTTCAAAATAATCAATGTAATATTACTTTATTTTATAGTATCTGGTCGTGGTTTACTTGGCCATTGGGGACCAAATCATGCTGGTGATCCCGTTATAACACGTTGGGCTAAAGATCTACGAAATGAGAGAAGAAAAGTTCTAGAAATAATACTTATTCATAGAAAAGATAGTGGAGAATTAGCTTTACCAGGTGGTATGGTTGATGCTGGGTAAATATTTAATAAATTTATTTATTTAATTATAAATATTTTGTTTAGTGAACATGTATCAACAGCAATAAAACGAGAATTTATTGAAGAAGCTATGAATTCTGATCCTAGTGGTGCAAAACAAATCGATGAATTATTTAAAAAGGCTGTTTTAGTAAAGAAATTTTAACTTAATTGAAATTTTATTTTCTACAAATATTTTCATAGATTTACAAAGGTTATGTCGATGATCCAAGAAATACGGGTAAAAATTTTCGATTTTTTATTTTTACATATGAAAGAAAATACATGATATACTTTTATTCTATTATAGATAATTCTTGGTTGGAAACTGTAGCTGTAAATGTCCATGATGAAACAGGAGAATTAACAAGATATTTAAAATTAGAAGCTGGTAAATATTTCATTTTTAACAGATCTATCCTATAACATCCTTGCTTTTACTCTACATTCCACATCTCTATCAGTGACGTCACTAGTCATACCTACAATAAATAAATATTAAGAAATTTTATTTTATTCAATGCCATTTAATTCGAAAGCTATATTGACAAATGTACAACTATGTATTTATCAAATAAATTATCGAATATTTGCTTCCTTAGCACGTCTTTTAAAAAAAGAATTGATTTCTGTTTTCTTTTTTTTTTTATAGGTGATGATGCTTCAAAAGTAACATGGATTCAACTTGATCGTGATCATAAATTATATGCATCTCATGAAAAAATTATTCAAACTGTTATTAGAAAACATGGAGCTTATGAATATTGGCATGATGGTTCTCGTTAAACTAAATTTAATTTAACAAAATAATAAACTTATAAACATTTCGTTTATTCAACTTATATTTCTTAGAGAGGAACATTTATCATAAATAAGAAGATTTTAATTCTTTAATATAATAAAATATTTTAATTCTCAAAAAAAAGAAAAATAAATCAATCTTGTTATCTATATACCGAAAAGAATATTCATATATGTATTAACAAATAATAATCAAATATTAACTTATAAACTAATAATTCCTCTTGTGAATAATTATTAATCGATTAAATACAATTCATTAAATATTAGTTGAACTATTTTAAATTATCAAATATTCTAGATCTGCACAATAGAGAGCCTCTAGGTTCCACGATTTTTGGGTTCGGATCTGAATCCAATTTATTGAATGTTTTTGAGATCTGGGTCTGCATCCAGTCGAACCGTACGCAGGTGAAGTTAACATCCAATTCGAGTAATTCCAATGGCGACTCGCTCAGGAAGTATTCCAGATTCTTCCAGAAGGATTCCAAGTATAATTTCATATGCTCTATCGAATGGAGAAATCAGATTTGTAGAATCTTGGAAACGATGGTTCAAGATATCGGAAATGTGATTTCCCCATGCGATAGATGACATTGAGCGCTACTTGCAGAACTGCTGGAACACTTCCTGAGCGAATTGGCGCTGGAATTACTCGAATCAGATGCTAACTTCATCTGCGTTCGAACGATACTTTGGTACTCTCAATGAAATTTTCCATTCGAAATTGGATAGTCATCCAGAAGATCCAAAATACTTTTTCCCGATTTTTTTTTGTATTCGTTGATTAGTGCACCCTACACATTTCTCAGATGACTAGAGCCCATTGGGTCCAAAATTTTAGAAGCCGAATCCGACGGACTCTACTGTACAAAGAGTAAATCAAGAAAAAAGTCTCTCATATCGTCGAAATAACTCTGTAAATATTGAACTTACCAATGATAATTGTATTTGATTAGACTTTTCGTTGTTATGCAGAATTGTAAATCTTATAATAAATTTGATTAATAATTTTCCACTAATGATGAAATGAATAGTAGAACAAATAAATTGTCTTAAAATATTTATTCTCCAAAACACGATTAGATAATAAGAGAGAATGATATGGTAATCTAATGCTATGACATTTAAAAATTATACTTACAGTTTATATTTGTATTAAAAATTTTAGCAGCAATCAAAACGTAGGTAAAGTTAGCACTATATTCGAGTTTTTTGCGTCCGGATTCATTTTACGACTTGAGTTAATTCTCTAGTTGCTTGAATTAGATGCAGAATTTAATTCTGCATAAAATAGTGCTATTTTCCACTAAGATTATATAGCTAATTAATGACTATAAGTAATGATTGGTATAAATTTTGGCATTGACCACAGTATAGAACGAATTAATACTTCAATGAAAGTGGATCTGCAAAGGTAAATGTCATCTCTCAGCGTCTAAAAAAAATGATAATTTTCTATTTTATGTTGAAGTTTAAAACAAACCGAAAGATTTTTTGAAGTGTAACAGAATTTTAACTGAAAATTTATTTCATATAAATCCAGATGGAGAGTCTTTGTTTTTTATAATAAATTACGTTTTTTTTTATATACACCCGTAGACAAAAGTGTCTCTCCTGCTCTTCCATCATGCGTTTTGCGTATAGAATTTCTTTGATTTTAGATGAAGGTTAGTTATAAGGATGATTTAAGTACTTTATTGTAGTGTAATGTATAACTGATAGCATTTTGATTCATTGAAGAATAGGCATTTTTACATATAATTGAGCAACCCTACAACAGAATTGGTTGGACAAATGTATCACGGCTGGATAATCTCTTTTTTCTTTGTATCTGCTTACTATTTTACTTGTTTGAATCATTAAATTCTTTTTATTGTCGACTCGAAGCTCTCTTAAGAATGCGGTATTGCCAATTACTACAAATATAGATAAAGTAAAATATTTATAGAATATCAAAAGAAAGAGATAACCCAGTCATCAAGTACTCTAACCATCACTTCATTTGTAGTGTTGACCGATTCTATTGAATAGCGTACATTCTTCATTGAAGTTGATCGTGATCAATCATAAACTACAATAAAATAGTATGTAAGTCATTTGTGTAACCAACATACACTTGTAACCTATGGGTTCGACATGAAAAAAAAAATGAAGAAAAGAGGCATGAAAAGACTTTTGCCCAGGGTGTATATATATTTATTATCCTATGAATGTCGTAACTTACACAAGAGAAAGGAGATATAGAAAATAGACAGCAGGAAAAGATATACCTAAATAAAACTAATCAATCACAAACATATTTATTCATTAGTTGCTAAAACAAAAGGAGAAATTATGTAGAGATTTTGTAGCATATTGTTATACAATATAATCAGTTTGCTTTTGAGGTAAAATATTTATGTTTAAATGTGCTCAACATTTCTTTTGAATTCCTCAGATATTTATATTGCATAATATGTGCATAATCAAATTCTATCTACTCCATTAGAGAAAGTTTGTCTTGTCGTTTTAGTCTATATAGTAAGACACTATTTCTAACAAGATTCATTTATTTGAACTATCCGTTATTCAGAGAGGTAATTATCAATGACACATTTCAGATCTGTTCAAAATGCAAGGATTTCAATAAAAATAAATGACACTCGAGATATTTAGCTCATTGTAAAATGATTCCCAATAAAAATGTTTATAAGAAAAAAGTTTTTGTTGTTTTGTTTTTGAATTTTTATTCTGTATGAAATACAACACATTCATGAAAAAGTATGATTAATCATGTAAAAAGTCATAAAAATTTATTTTTTTTATTTGTTTTTTGAAATACAAAAAAAAAGTGTCTGGTGTATTATTTGGTTGATGTTCGTTTAATAGCTTCCTCATGATTTTTAATTAATTCTCTATATTTTTCTGCTTTAATTGATTTTTCATATTCTCTATGAATCTCATAATCATAAGAACGTAATTCAATTGTACTTGTTTGTTTATTTAAAGAAATTTTCAATGGTTTTTCCATTAATTTATCTTTTGTTTCAATTGAATCACAATCAATAATAAATTGATTTTGAATATCATCTGAATTTAAAATACAACTTAATGGTACAAATTCAATTGATAAAATTTGATCATTTTTAATAAAATTTTCATCGAATGAAAGAGTTTTTAAATGATCATAAAGACAATCAAGTAAATATTGATGATTTATATAGATTGAGAAATCTAATGGAAGATTTGCTAATAAAGCATTAGGTTTTTTTTCTGGTGGTTCACTAAAATGCCAAATTTTACGATGACTTAAACGTTTTTTTAATTTTTGATATGTTTCAATTTTCATGTGACCACTTTCATCAATATCTTCACGTGGAACATCATAATTAATACCACCAGGAAAATAACTGAAATCAAAAAAGAAATAAAACAAAAAAAAAGAATCCTAATTTGAATATTTCATATGTTTAGAAAATCATCTAACCTGATATCTAATGAATTTGCTTTAACATCTTCAATAAGTTTATCTCGAATAAGTTCATTTATTAAATCTGATTTACGTAATGGATCTGATCGAGTAACAAGTGTTAAAAAACAATCATGATATTCACGTGGAATTGTTGTTAATGGTATATCATTATCGATTTGTTTAATTACAAAACGAATCGGATTTTCAAGTTTAACTAATTCAGCTTTATTTGTACGAATTTTATCAGCATATTGTTCAATAATTTTTTCGATATTCATTATTTGACCTTTTGTTACAGTAGCAGAATCAAAAACTAAAGAAAATATATTCAATCGTTTTAAATAACTCAAACTTTAATCTAATGTTGTAGGGGGTCAAGGATGTAGTACCCCCTCGGAAGAGAAAACATCTCGATAAAAATATTAATTTAATCATAAAAATTGTTAAAATATTTAAAATATTAACTTACAAATTTTTGGTTTATATTCAATAAATTTATTTTGTAATTCTTGATTAATTTCTTCTGATGTAATTGTTCGATGTGTTTTTCTCATTCGACGAAAATATTCCATAAGATGTTCAACATCATCTTCAGGTAAATCTTTATAAAATGTTCTTGATGGACGTATTGTACCCAAAATTAATAAACGACGTGCATTATCATTTAATAAACTTGATCGTCTTTCCTTAGGAAAATTTTCTTCATTATCATCTGATGATAATGCATTATTTTCATCATCAGGTGTCGTTGGTGTTGGATAACTTTTTAATTGTTTAGATTTATGTTCATTTTCAATACCATTATCATCATTTAATGAAATTCGACGAAATCGTGATGATTGTGTTGGCGTTTTTAATTCATTATGACTCATATGATTAAGATAAATTGTTGGCATACGAAATGAATCACTTTGTTGTGTTGGTCGATTTGATGTTGTATCTTTAAAAATTTAATAATTAAGATTTATACAGATATTTGCAAAAAAACTTGAAAACCTTCTTCCACAGATATCACCTTCGATACAAGTGCTCTTCTAATTGTTTTACATTGTGGTAGATAGCCCACGAAGAGTACTATACAATAGTATAATTTCATATTCTCCTTATTCACTTCTAGACGTATCGAAGAGGAAAAAATCACGCTTCTATATATACAGCGTGTAGTGTATCTATCGAGGGTTTATCTCTCGAACAATGAATTTCGTAATTGTTTATAGCAGTAAAGAAAAAGGTTTTAAGAATAAAAAAAATTTTTTCTAAGTTTTTTTGCAAACATCTGTATATTCTATTAAGAGATTTCATGAAATGATCAACGCGAAAAAAAAAGCTTTTACAAATAATGAATAAATAGATAATATTTATAGTCTGAAGAATAGAAATATTGTGATGTAAACATCTAAAAATTTATTAATTTTTCTTGAAGAAATGGAAAATTTTTGTGAAATAAAATATTGTTGTTTTTTATTTTGCTTTATTTAAATCTTACCATCAATAATTTTAGCTGAACTTCGTCTACGAACAGTGATATTTGGAGGTGGTGGTGATTGATTACCATCATTATCTTTTTTTCCAGTTGATGGACGTCGTTCATCTCTTGATGAACGTCGTCTTATTTCGATTAGTGATGGTTGATTAACATAATTAAGACCAGCAAGTTTTGTTGTTGCATCTTGACTATTAGCTATTTGTTGCTGTTGTTGTTGTTGTTGTTGTTGTGCTTGTTGTTGAAGTAATTGATAATCAACAACAGAAAGAATTTGTGATTGACTCGATGTTGGCATCAATGAACTGATTATTCGAACAAAAATTTAATTTTATTTAAGATAACATTCGATTCTAGTTACTTTTATATGAATTACGATTTTCAATTATACTTTTTCTTTTTCTTTTTGTTCTATTAATACAAAAAAAAAGGAATGATGATTGAAAAAAAATCATGAATATGACGGACAATAAACAATTCTTTTTTATTCTTCTATTTCTCACTTTATAATTTTATAAGTGTCTACTATTGACATACAGTAAGAGAAAAAATGAAATAAAGAACGAAAGAATATGATTTGAAAAAGAACAAAAGATAATGATTTGTATAATGATCATAGTTGATAAGTATTCATAAATATAAGAAGTCATACATATTTTTCTCATTGTTATGTATGAACAATCAAACACGTTTCAAATTTTATTTGTTTTCAAGAATAAAATTACAATTCAAACAAATATCATATTATAAAAAGTTCAGTTTTTTTGTTTAAAAAGTAAAGCTATTCTCACTAGAGAATATATACAAACTGAATTCATCAATAATTAAATTTGAATAATCAAGCAAATAGAATTTATTAAAAACTTCTATTCATAATCTTAGAATTGCGCAAATATGAATCATTTCATGTAGGGGGTCAAACAATGAGTCATTTCAAAGATTCAATAAATAAAGCACCAATGTCATTCAAATCGAACAAAAATCGTCATCAGTTTAATACTTAAATATTTGACTATTCTCTAACCCGAAAGTCTACTGTCAGTTGTTATCAGTATCGCGGTATACCGATGGTAATACGAACAAATTTATTTGATTTCGATATTGAATATCAAACTGATGAATAATGTAATCGAAATCATAGACAAAATTTTATTCACTGGAAAAAAATGACTTGAAATCGTCAAGTGCATTTAATTCACAGGAAACGTATGAATCTATTTGTATTTATTTATATTTAATCGAATCTTTATACATAATGATTAAACTGTCATGTTTCTCCTATATGTACAATTTAATAATCAATAATTATAAATAATAATTTCATCTCTATAAATAGAAACAAATCGTAGAATTATATGAAATGAACGCTTACTCATGCATTATTTGTCAATATTTTTTTATAATATAATACGAATCAAAAATAGATTCGTAATTCATTAAGTTAGAAAGCAAATTGATTAAGATAATATTTAAAAGATTACTAGTAGTGAATATTTGATCAATTGAAAGCCATGAGATGTATCGGATCAGATAGACTGACAACTCGTAAAACTAATCTTTACTTTTAAATCTCATACGAAGATTAAAAAAAACAGAATGAATAATCATAACTTAAACCAATTAATGATAAAATTATTCACATTTCAATATTTATTTTATTATTCTAATCCAAATCAATTAATAAAATATTTTATTAGCTTACCGCTTTTGTCTTTTTACAGTCTCAATTAATTTTAAAAAAAAGAAAAAAGAAAATATATATATATATATATATATATATGAGAAATCTGAACATACAAATCAAAATTACAATGACGCCAATCACAATATAAAAGAAAAAAAAAAGAAAGAGAAATCAATAAAGTGCATAATCAATATGAAAAAAAAAAGTACAAAGAGAATGTCACTGAATGAAATAATATTGTTGTCGAAGACTCAACAGTTTTGAAAAAAAAAAAAAAATGAAATTAAATTTGCTATGTAATTGTTACCATTGTACAGAACACTCACTATTCAAGTGTCTAGTTACATATAATGTATAAACATACATCAGTTCCTTTATTCTCTCATGTACAAATAATAATAACGAAAAAAAAAAAGCAAAATACAAAACGATGAGTACTGTCGATGTTGATATGACATTATATTTCCATAGAAAACATACACCACCACCTAGTGTTCTTCTATTAACAGGACCAAATGATAACAGTCGAGATTATGAAGGTAGTCCTACAACTGAACATCGTCCTAATCAACCTAAAAAACGTCCACCACCACATATGATTGGTTTACATGTTAGTAATCTTGATGTACATGATACATCAACTGCATCATTTGGTTGGCAACGACATTCTGATAAAAACAATCAATTAAATCTTGCACCAGATGTTGCATATCGAAATACATATTTAGAAGAAATGAAGAAAAAAGAGAAAAAGGATCCAAATAATGAACATAATCATTGTTGTTCATTATCACCACATAATCAAAAATCATCTCAATCACAATTTAAAGATTCATCTTCATCTTGTTCATTAAAATCATCACAACAAAAAAATTCTTCTCATCAATATTCAACAATATATGATTATATTCGTGCTTCTATTCGAGATATTGAACGACATCGTAATAAAAAACAACAAAATATATCTTCACGTGTAAAACGTCCACAAAATGATGATTGTACTTTACGACGTATATTAGGAGAAAAAAAATCTCCTGTAAGAACATCAATGTCAAGAAATAGTTCAACAACAACAACAACAACAACGACAACACAAACAATATCATCATTGTTTAATAACGATTTAAAAAGTCCACAAAGTTTTGTTAATTATATAAATTATTCTCGTACAGTTCATTCATCAACATCAAATCAATCATATCAACAACAACGATCTATTCTATCTCAAAACTAACTTTATTCATACAGTAAAGAATATTTTCAATACTCATCGTTTGACTATTTATACTATTGGATAATTCATAAATAATAGAAAAAAAAGAGAAAAAAAGGAGAACAACAGAATAAAAAAAAAGAAAGAAAAGAAATCGTTCAAGTAGTAGAAAGGCATATTCAATTGAAAATTCTATGCATTTGTTCAAGGTAATTTCTGATGATAATTTTATATTAACAAAGGACAGAAGTGCATAAGAACGCTATTTGACTCCTATTGATTTTCAAGGTTCAATCTAATTGACACATATATACAATCAAAGATCATCAGTTTCTAACTATTTTCATGCTAAAACTCAAGGTATTTTTCATTTAATTATACATTATCATAGAAAATAAATAATGATGAAGAGTAATGCATAGTTATTTTGATAATCCTTTTTCTTCGGCTAGGTTTTCATAATAGAATTATTCATTTGAAATAATCTTTTAAATTTACTAGATCGTATACAAATCTTGCATTACATGCTGTTCCAAATCTGAATAATAGGCGTTTATTAATTGTGTTAATGAAACTTCCTTGATATTTAATTCATTTTATAATCGATAGAGCTTTTCAAGCACTACAAGACTAAATAATTTCTACGATCTAAAAAAAAACGACCGACGCAACAAAATTCATAGTTCACTCTTCATAAAGCTGAATTGTTTGGACTTTTTTGACTGATATTTGATGGTACATATTTCACTTCAGACAAATATCATATTTGGAATTAGCACAAGAAAATAAGTCGATTTATGTATGTTTCAAAGTTTTTCTGCGACTTGTTTTTCTAATCAAATTTTTGCCTGTGAACCTCTTCAGGGATATGTGAAAGAATGAATTTAATCAAAAAAGTCTTTGCAGCCGTAGAAACCAAGTTCTAAACTTGTAAAATGCGATTTGAAGAGAAAAAGACAAGTTACTAAACAATAAAATAATTGTTTTGATTAAATTCATTTTTTCACATATCTCTGCGGGAGTTCACAGATGAAAATTTGATCAGAAAAACTTTGAAACATACATCAATTAACTGATTATTTTACACTAATTTCAAATATGATATTTGTTTGAATTGAAATGCTTACCATCAATTATCAGTCGAAAAAGCCAAAAAAATTCGGCCCCATGAAAAGTGAACTAAGAATTTTGTTACGTCGTTCTTTTTTTTTTAGACCCTAGAAAATAATTGATTTTGTAGTGCTTGAAAAGCTCTATCAATTATGAAATGAACTAAATGTCAAGGAAGTTTTATTAATGCAATAATGAAACCACAAATGGAATGCACACATATATGATTAGATGTATCTATATCTCTTCTTTCGAACGATGAAAACTGCAGTTCTCTATCTTGTTTCTATAAAAAATTATTCAAAAAAGATCAAATAGGGACTAATACTACTAGCATAGGTCATAGTGAAACAAATCTTATCAAAAGTTTATTATTATGATATTAGTTGAAGTGCTTAGATAGAAGATAATCACATTATCTTGTACTAAGATCTGTAATTAGAACTTAGGTACAGATTTCTAAGATCTTGACTAAAATATTCATGATTCAAAATGATCACTAAAATTCATTTATGGATGTCTCGAAATACTTCTCAAATAGTCTATCTAATGTAAAATTTGTTGCTCAAGCTGAATTTGAAGTCAGATTTCTTCTACTTATCATAAACAGTCAATTTAGTGGTCAATGATCAATCGAAAAAACTTTCGAAATCATCGGCTTCATCAACACTTTTCAATGGAGATTGTATTTTCTTGAGCGATTCAGCACAATCTATTTCCAAGAAGTAGAAAAATAATTTTTTTTAAAAATATTATTAAATCAAGATCTTGCACAAGATTTTAAAAATACATGTTCTTTTATGATAATCGAATCAGATGAATTTATACCCAAGATCTTGCTTACAAGATATTTCACTAGAGTACAGTACCGCTGCCATTAGTTTTGGATTGTTCTAAGTAATATATCGTGAAGATTGATCCTATTCACAATCTATAATTGAATGAAAATACAAATAATCAGTAACCGATGATCTTTCATATATATGAGTCAGTTAGATTATATCTTAAAAATTAACAGAAGTAGAAAAATGTGTCTTGTGCGACCATCATCTTTTCCTTGTTATATTTTTTTTTAAATCTAAATAGTTTAATTCAGTTAGTATTTAAGAATAGGCTAATCTATAAAGTAAACTTCTAATTGTATTCATATTTATATTTGAAAATTTTTGATCGGAAACAAGAAGGAAATTGAAACATAATGTCAATATTATTGATCATAATTAGTTTTTCTTTAGACAGAAAAAAAAACCAAGGATCTGTCAAGGCACATTCAGTTGAATAAATAAATTGAAATGAAAAATAGAAATTGAATAAAATTTAATTTTAAAACATAACTATTAAGAATTATTATTTGAAATAGCCTAAAAATTATTTTTAATGATTTTTAGTATAACAATAATAAGATTATTATTCATAACGTTATTTGAGGTTGAATATGCGACAATAATTGTTGATTGTTTACCATTCTTGTATCTGCTGTATATCTTCTTAATAAAATAGGTGTTTGAGGTAATGTTATTTTAAAACTATCATTATTATTCATCATTTTAAAAGTGAATGGTTGTCGTTGTTGTTGTTGTTGATCTCGACTTGCTCGTGATATACTTGTTATTGTTATAAATGAATCTTTACGTTGTTGATGAACTAATAAATCAGTTTCTTTAGCTCGATAAATAGTATTAGATTTAATTTGACCAGATTGAAATGATTTTGTAAGATGATAACGTGCATGATTTCTAGGAGAACGAGGTCGACCTAATTTAGCTGAATTTGTATGACGAGTAAAACGTGATACTGATGTATAAAATATATCTCTATATTAAAACACCAAAAAAAAAGAAATACTTCGGATCATTATTTGTTTTTAACTTACTTAAAATTTCTAAATGTTTGATTATAAATAAAAAATTTACAACATAAACTTATTTCATAAAGTATAACTGTTAATTTTCTTGAAACAAGAATTATTGTTAAACCAATTGTTCTTTCTTTTGTAGCATAAATTAGATTAAGACCAATCATAATACCTATTGAGAAAAAATATATTTATATATAATATCATTCTAACCTAATGAATTGTTACCTGTTGGTGTATGAAAAATTAAAAATAGTATTGAAATAAGTAAAACTGTTTTTGTTGCTTGATTAAATTTAGCTTGACGTGCTTGAGAATAAAATGGTTCAAAATTTTGTGTAGCTAATTTAATATTATAAATGATAATTAAATTCATTATTAATGTTAAACATTCAGGTAGAATAGCCCAAATAATTAAATTAAGATGTCTTATTATAATTAATGTTTTATATGTATATCCATCACATGCAACAATTGAAAAAACACTACCTTGATCAATACCTTTTAAATCAAAAAAACGATAAATACATAAACATATTACAATTAATATTAATATAAATATTGAAATTTTTGCACGTTTATGTGTATATAATGAATGACATTTTAAAGGTCGTAAAACACATATTAAACGTTCAAAAGTTAATAAAACAACGATCCATGTTGGAAATATTAAAAAAAATTCAGTTAAAAAACCATTTATTCGACATAGAATTGAAGAATTATGAAAATAATCATCAATTATATCGATTTGTCTTAATATTGGAATTGTAAAATTTACATGTAAATTAAGTGTATCTCCTAGTGCTAATACAGATAGATAAACATTTTGTGAATTTCGTTTATTTATTTTAAGAAAACAAAATAATGAAAATAGATTAAGTATAGTTCCAATAACAATTAAAGTTGCAGCTGTTGGAAAAAATAATCTTTCAATGTAACAATCAATAAGTATTAAACGATAAATAACAATCATTAAATCACAATCGGTTATATTTGGAGGAGATATATCATTAAAACATTTTGAAGATGTATCAAAAATAAGATCAATATTTTGACATATATTTGTTTGATTCGAAATATTCATTATTCACTTATTTGAAATATATAAGAAAATAATCATCTGAAAAAAAAGATTATCATAAAATTTATTTTTTATCGATTATACTTCTTGCATGAATAATAATTAATATTTACATTGAATATAAATATTATTATATGATGAAATTTACTTTTCCAGAACTGATTTTCTCGAGAAAAAAAAACATATAACGACATTCTTTTTCTATCTTACCTATTTACAAATGAACGGATTCTTATTTAAACGCTATTTCCTTTTTTTTTCTCTCTCTAAGCGATTTACTTTTTCTCTAAATCTTTTTCAGGATTACGGATGAAAAGTGACGTTAAAAATTAATTACAAGGTATACAAAAAAAACAATAGTCTAGCTCAAAGACGTTTTCTGTCATGACAAGTTACTATAAAAGAGTGAAAAAGACCTTTTCGTATACTTCTGTAATACTTTTCTTCTATGATATTATTAGTTGTCTATGTGTCTCTCATTTGATTTCTCTATGTTTATTCTTCAAAAATTTGAATATTTAATAAATTCGTACAATTTACTTTTCATATGAATTTATTGTTGAAAAAATATTTTGACGAATAAAAGAACAAAAAAAAGAAAGAATAGATATTTTTCTATTTAATCATAACGTAGGTTTCATTTAAAAAGAATTTTGTTCAACTTCATCAAAAAAAAAAACATCTGCTATAATGAATATCCTGTGTTTATATTATCAGTTTTTGTGATTAGATAAAAGGATATAATCAATGTATAAAACAAAAAAAAAAAGAATGGTAAATATAGGAATTAGAAAAGAAAAAAATTATATTTATAGAAAAAAATCCCGAAGGGAAGCACTTGTTTTTTTTCGCTTAATTTTCTTTCGTCGTTACTCTTAGTATAATCATCGAACAAGTTGTTCTTTTTTGCTCTCGATGGACTCTTATAAAATAAGCCAAGTGACAATTTAATCGTATAGAACTATAAGATGAATA